TAAAGCAACTCAAATCTCTCACCAGCAAAATACCTCGTCCAGTTAATGCCATTTTACGTTTCATTACTATACGATACAGTATTTATTATCATTATAGTATTACTATTTTGGCGATTAGATAAAATATAAATTTATTTGATGCCAATTTTTAGTTCACATTTCCATGACCTTTTCCAAAACTTTGGGGAAAATATTGTTTTCCATAACTTTTCCAGGGCCTGGAATTAGCATTTTGAATTTCCATGACTTTTCCAGGTTTTTAATGACCGTAAGAACCCTGTGTAATACAAGTAAGTATAAGTATAATGGAAAAGTAAATAAAAAAGTTTCATAGGAGGATGTGGAATTATTTTCTCTCACCGTACACAATCAAACAATTTATAATTTAGCTATGGCCTTCACTCACAAAAAAACATTTAGTTGAATTGGGACACATTTTTCGAAGCTCTGACATGCAATGACTGGGACTGGTGGAAGAATCTGCGAGGAATTAACTAGGAGCAGAGGAAATAATCATATTTTAAAAGACAGCAGCCCCATAAGAGGCCAACAAGAGTCACAAGGGTGGTGTCACTTTGCTGAAGGATAGACCAGCTGTCCAGGCCAGACTCTAAAGACTTTGCATGGTGTAAAATGCTGCTGCTGCAGTACTAGTGCTGATATCATGTCTACCATCCTCTTAAAATACTCTGTCCAACAATATAAGTCTCATGAAGAAAGGTGTTTTAACGCTTATTCAAAATAGTAGAGAAACATGCATTCTAGTACTCAGGAGGGGACTTTGACAGAGGATTACTAAAAAGAAAGTACTTCATTTTATTGTTGGTTAGCAGTCAAAATAATACCGAGTCCAACAGTGTCAGTTTTATTAAGAACTTGCGGTAAAAAATATTTGTAAAAAAAAAATGAAGAGCAGCTGATTTGAAAAAACAAAGTGGAGAGACGGCTGAGTGACCGCAGTGCAGAATCGCTGTATAGTTTTAAATCTCCTAACAATGTTGTCCATTTTAGACATAGACTTATTATATTTACATTACAGTCCTTAATAACATTCATTTTCTGGGCTCAATGTGTGTCTTGGCCGTTTTCGTTGTGATCGCTAAATTCACCTTGTTTCCCCTCGTTTATAATATTATCAACGTTCCAAGCAAACGAGTGCTTTTAAAAAAAAATCACTCTCCGCGAGTTTCGCGGCCCCCCCCTCCCCCCTCGCTCCAACGACCATTAGACCATTTAGTAAGGTAAAAAGCAAAAACGCCTCGCAGACACTCTTCCGTTTACTTGTTTAATAAAGAAAACAAATGGTCCGTAGATACACGGATTCATCTCCCTCCATCATGTTGATTTGAATCAGAAGTTCTGAACATGAGCCCGCCCCCGCTCGACCTTCTGAGCCAATCACAGCGCGATAATGACCTGCCTTCCGTTTCAACCATACTCCTTCCGTTTCCACTATACTTTCTCTCCCACATACATACATTCTTCTCTTGCATACATATATTGTCTTCATACATGCATATATTATTTATAATATTAAATGTAAACATTGAATGAATGTGCATGAGAGCAAAATGTATAAATATGAGCATTAAAATATATGAATATGAGAACAAAATGTAAAAATGTGTGAGTGAAAAACTTATAAATGTGTGAGTGACAATGTATGAATGTGTGCATTGAAATATGATAATATGAGAGCAGAATGTATGAATGTGTGAGTGTAAATATATACGTGTGTGAGAGTGAAAATGTGTGTGCAGAGTGAAAATGTATGTATGTAAAAGGAGAATGTACGTGTGTGAGAGTGAAAATGTATGTATGTAAAAGGAGAATGTACGTGTGTGAGAGTGAAAATGTATGTATGTAAAAGGAGAATGTACGTGTGTGAGAGTGAAATGTATCAGTCAAGAATACAAGTGTTAACCATCAAAATTCCACAGTCATAAGGCTTAAAGCACATGTGTCAAACTCAAGGCCCGGGGGCCAAATCCGGCCTGTGATAGATTTAATTTCGGCCCGCAGGATAATTTCTAATAACTATTAGATCTGGCCCGCCGGTATATTGCACGCACACCTTCACTCAATCCTGAGGGTTTCCTCAGCTCAGAGCCTGAGCCCAAACATTGATGAACTTGCACCCAAGATGAGATGCCAAGTATCTAGGACGGTCGGAGAGAGTGGACAGTGGACAGTTGGCTGAAGGGAGAGACGGTGAGGGGGCAGGAGGGGTTGTGGCCCAGGTGACGGGGGACACAGGGCCTGCCGTGGTACAAGACAAGTGGAGAATTAAAGGGGTGCAGGATATGTGCTGTCCAGAGAAGAAAGGCAGATGGAAGGAGCACTATTGGCGTTTATGAAGAAATATGGAGAGATTGAGGTGACAAGATGATGGCCAAGGAAGGGAGGGAGAGGGGGGGGGGGGGTTGAGGAGAGTGAAAGGAAAGGTCTCAAGCATCATTAGTTTCAATCTCTGGCCTCATTGCAGGTGACAGCAGCATGGCTAAATTACCTGGCACTCAAATTAAACAGGGCATATAGTGAGAGTGAGAGACAGTGAGAAAGGAAGGGACAGAGACAGTGTCTGTGTGTGTGTGTGTGTGTGTGTGTGTGTGTGTGTGTGTGTGTGTGTGTGTGTGTGTGTGTGTGTGTGTGTGTGTGGTGTGTGTGTGTGTGTGTGTGTGTGTGTGGTGTGTGTGAGTGTGTGTGGTGTGTGTGTGTGTGTGTGGGGTGGGGGTGTTGACACATTAATGCAATTTCTCTCTGGATCCCTCCGTTCCCTCGGCCCAGCCCTGGATAATGAGCTAGCGAACACTCTCCCTTTCCCCCCCACTGGGCCTACCTGCCATGACAAAAGTCTCTGAACGCTATTTTTGGAGCCCCACTTCTCATTTATTTCCTTGAATTGGTGATGATAATGATCATTGTGGCTTGAGGTGCCATATTCAAATTAACTGCCATTCCTCCGGTGCTATCGGCCCGGCATCTCCCAGCCTGCAAAAAAGTGTCCCTGCACCGCGCCCGTCGGCTCCCACCGTTCCTCCCCTCCCTTACCTCTCCTGGAAGCTACACAAAGACCATTGAAGCAGCGCCGGCTGATATGTTTCCTTGTTGAGCTTATTCAAATCAGGTGTTTGAAAACGAACCTTGTTTGCATTGTAATGTTGCGTGGCAGAGCATCTACAATTGACAATTTACTCATACAGGCCTGTTAGAGGGCTAGGTGCGTCAGTGCTGTGAATATGAAATGAATTACATTCCCGCCTGTAGTTATTCAGATCAGAGTGTAACATGATAGCTTACATGAGTGGGTTTGAATGGGGGTCTAACTAAATACATTTGAATTGGAAAGGGTGTGTTTGGCAGATTGTGCCACTCACCAGGTGCTGCGGCGGATAAAGCAAGCAGTTTATTGTACATAATAGGATGCAAGAATCTTTACATATACATGAATTCTATTAGGCATCGCTGGCACTGGAGGGAGGCACAAAAGGCAGCGGCGCTCACTGAGAGGAGGTGAGGGAGCTGCTCACATCCATCAGTCTGATAAAGAGATTTGTATTCGTCAGTCTAGTGCAGGGGTCGGCAACCCCTGGCACGCGTGCCAGCATTGGCACGCGGCACCGTAGCCAGTGGCACACTAGGAATAAGTCGAATAAGTGTGCAAAATATTTAAATTGTATTTTCGGATCCTGAACGAGACCGCCGCCAGAGCGCGTCTCCCCGTTACCTGCAGAAGGAAGCCATGCACGCAACGCAGCCCCGCTCTCTTTAACTCCAGATGACTTTCTGCCGCTTTCCTCCGTGGTGCAGTGCTGATCGTTTCACCACGGAAGAAAGCACTTCACAAATTGCAGTACCCATAAGGAGCTTTACAAATGTCGCAGTTTTTGCGTGGCTGTGTGTGTCTTTAGTTGAAAGCCCAGTGGCGATCTGCTCATCTCTCATTGAAATAATATGCTACAAAGGGGCGGACTGGCCATCTGTGTGTTGAACTTTCCTGTCGGCTCCCAGACCGTAGTCGAGGAGGGCAGAAGCAACGAGCTTCAGGTTCAATAACCCACTTTAGCTTAAATGACTGGAGAGAGGCGAGCTCTTCTTGAGAGGCCGTTGCATTTATTTAGCTGTTCTTCTGTTTCACAAAATACATCACAGACCTCTGTTTTTCTGCTGCTTCGTTTCACTTCCAGAAACATACTCACACGCACACGCCACACCCCTCTCTCTCTCTCTTAAAGGGACAGCGATCTCATCTCACTCTGCATGACCCTAATATCATAACATGTGTGTTCTGGAGAATCACAGAACGGACGATCGTCCTTATTATTATGCCGTTTAAACCAATTATTTAAATGTGTTTGTTAAATTCGGTATCATGTAAGTTGCGCTGACAGGTCCACACACTGCTTCCCCGCAGCGAGGCCCCCCCGCCCTCCTGTTGATAGATCACGAGCGTCAAGCTCCTCAACATCCTCAACACCCCCCCCCCCCCCCCCCCGTTGATAATTCTCGATCGTTGGCACGCTGATAATTTTTTTTTTTTAAATGGCACTTCATATCAAAAAGGTTGCCGACCCCTGGTCTAGTGTGTGTGTGTGTTTGTGCGTGTGTGTGTTTGTGCGTGTGTATTTTGTGGGAAAAAAGGCCATCATGCTGCCACTCTCACTTTGCACTGTTTTAGGAACAAAGATAATAAAGTGTTTCTGTGAAACAAAACACCTGGGGGATAACTGTCACTGCAGAGACTCCTCTCAGTACAACATCTGTGTGTGTGTGTGTGTGTGTGTGTGTGTGTGTGTGTGTGTGTGTGGTGTGTGTGTGTGTGTGTGTGTGTGTGTGTGTGTGGGTGGGTGGGTGGCTGTGTGTGTGTCTGTGTCTGTGTCTGTGTCTGTGTGTGTGTGTGGGTGGGTGTGGGTGTGTGTGGGTGTGGTGTGTGTGTGTGTGTGTGTGTGTGTGTGTGTGTCTGTGTCTGTGTGTGTGAGTGTGAGTGTGTGTGTGTGTACCTGTGATACGTGCATGTCGCTCTCATCCACCAGACCCGGCAGCTCGCTCAGGACCGGTTCCAGCGCGGCAGGTTTGATGTTTGCAGCCTGATGCGTGATGATCGAGGTGAGACAGGCCAGCGTCCCGAGCTTCAGAACTCGCTCGTTCTTTCGGAGGAAAGATCCCAAAACTGAGAGCGTCTCCGGCAGGATGGAGGACAGGTCGATCTGAGAGAGGAGGAAGAAATGTTTACAGCAGGGGTGTCAAACTCAATTTCATGGCGGGTCACATTAGCATAAAGGTTGCACTCAAAGGGCCGGTTGTAACTATATAAATATATAATATATATATAAAAGAATGTATTATATTACATTATTGCCTCTGAATTGGATTATTATCGGATAGGATAATAACTTAGTAATTGACTACGTCTGAAAGCAGAAGTCCAGGGCAAATAATTGCAAGTCTCTTCAGTGCGCATGTCACAAAACAAGATGCATTGTGGGACATGTAGTTTATGGGCAACCTGCTTCTGTAACCGTATAATAAACGTATTATATTCTTTGCAAGCTCTTGCGAGGCCACATAAAATGAAATCGCGGGCCGGATTTGGCCCCCGGGCCTTGAGTTTGAGACCCCTGGTTTACAGTGAAGCCTCTACTGCAGTAAAGGTATTCACACACAGTGAAGGAAAGTCGTAAATAAAATGTTTCAGACATATATCATTTATTCTTCAGAACATTTTGGGGGGATTTAAGGACGTTTTCTTCATATTTGGGGGGAATGTTTCACATATTCTTGGGAAAATAATTTGAGACATTTTCTGAGAATTATTCTCTTCTTTTTTGTGGCATTTTATTGTTGTTTAAACTTTGCTAATTGTAAATACTGTTGGGTAGTTAAATCTAGAGCAATACAGGCTATTATATGAGAACATCATGTTTGTAGCTTTGTCATGTGAAAACCACGTATCTGTGAAGTGAACTTTTCATGGGTTTCTCAGAAATACAGCCTGTTTTCAGCTCTGTGACAATGCCTTTTCCAGCTAATCCAAGAGGCTGCTGGAACATCAGCAGGACATGACTCTTTAAAGTAGAGACACTACATACTGTAACAACACTTACACATGTAAATAACACATTGTAAGCTACATTTTTAGTTTTTTGGTAATCTAAAACATAGACAAGTATGGTTTGCCCTTAAGATGTCTTTGTGTCATTTGTATGTGTGCACCCTTCCCATATGGACAGGAAGAGTGGACAGCTAAGCGTTGCTGGTGGAGGGAGAGGTGTGGAGAGGGCAGAGGTGGGGACTCGAGTCACATGACTTGACTCGAGTCGCATATTTTTGGACTTGAGACTTGCTTGACTAACATTGATAAAAGACTTGACTTGACTTTGACTTGGTATTCATGACTTGAGACTTGACTTAAGCTTGAGACAGATGACTTGAAAGGACTTGACTTTTTTAAATTAAATATTTGCGTTTGTTTTTGTATTGAGATATTACATTTCGTTTTTTCGAAACGTGATTGGGTGATTATAGCACCGTGCGCGCAAACCTGGCAACCCACTAGCAGTGTTGCCAACTATATAATAAATATTGCTTTTGCTTTGACTCACACAGCCTCAGTCACTTAATCACCTCGTCCACTGTGTGTGTGCCTCTGTGACAAGCTAAACATCCACGGAGGTCATCATGTCACAGTCTAAAGTTACTGTGGCCTATTCACAAAAGTACAGAAAGGAGTGGGAATCAAACCCTGAGTTTAAAGGATGGTTGAAGCCATTTATTGGAGATGACACACGGGCCTACTGATATAGGCCTACTGCCTTTATTGTAAGGGAGATTTCTACTAAAAAATCCTGTAACTGCTCTGCTGACTTTCTACCCTTTTTCTACATTGGTTCCAGCGTGTGAAGATTAACGGCGTCGGCTTCCGTTAGCCTCAGAGTAATTGTTAAGACAGCGATGAACAGTCCTTAGCTCTAATCCCCAAATCAAAGAGAAGTTGCGCAGAACACCAACATTCAGGTTTGATTTCCTTCACTCAAAAAAAACATGCCTTAATCTTTCCTTCCTTTCAGAGATCGCAGCGCAGAAGCTAGACTTACCTCCTGTATTTACTAATTAGCGAGAATGTGATTCAGGGTTCTTGAATTCACTTCCCACAGAACAGTACAAATAATGTAAGCTTTATGAAAGAAAAAGACAAAGGTGGTATTTCTAAGTGAGTCTGGAGATGTTGTAACATGCAGTAGGGTGTGTGACATATACAGCACACTGTGAGGTAAAAAGGAGAGGAAGAAAATTGTCTCGGAGTGTGACTACAAAGATAGATGTGTGTGGAGAAGAGAAAAATATACAGAGATGAAAGGTTAAGGGAGAACAAAGCATGTCGAGTAGTGAGCATGGTTAAATAATTGTTTTATTGTGCATGCACTGTGCAAATGTACTCTAGGTAGAAGCTGTGGCATAATCCTGAGGGAGCAACACTATCAACAGACAAAGACTTGCATACCATTTATTCGTCCAATTTGACCTGACAGCTAATTCCATTTTTTTATGAACACACATATGTTAATATCCCTTCATATTTCCTTCTTGGCTTCAATTCAAACTGTGCTTTGGTGTTTGTGTGGAGCCCAAGGCTGAGCGTCATTACGGTGCTCAGCAGGCTCATTGCAGATCTATTATGTTGATTTGACTCCATGAGGTGGTAGAGAAAGCACTTGCTATGTGAGAAGCAGAGTAATGTGATTATATTACAGGAGCAGCAGGGTTGTTTGATAAGTATAGGGCCAGGCCACGGCTGTAGATGGGCCCCGGTGCCCTGTAGCTCCACAGTTTGGGAGCACATTCATTAACAGCCACAGATTATTACCAACAGCTTGTGCTGGGTACTGCCCAGCACACACACCATCATAAACATTCACATCTGTACACTGTCACTGTTCAAATTGAATGCATTCATTCTCTAATTTGATTACATTATTTCCTTGTTTGATGTATATGATGCTGTGTGTGCACACTGCGAACAGGAGATAAGAAGCATCACCACATGAGGACCAATTTGCTTACTTTCTTAGTCGGAGAAACTTTATTCTCTCTCTCTATTTAGATGTCACTGTTGGTGGCAGAGCTATGAGTTCTTAGATGGGGAATATTAATATTAATATCCGCTTTTCTTCTGTCTCACTAAAACCCACCCTCTTGCATCCTCCAGCTCCATACAAAACATGGCTTCTTGTGTAGGAGAGGACTCTTTTAGAGTAGAACACTTAAACCAGTTGTTAATGACTTATGAAACTATTTTTATAGTATTCAATCAAACTTCAAATTCACATTGTTTATCAGAAGAATAAACTATGACAATATTATTATTCAGTCATGAAGCTAGTCCTTATTGTAACTTCAACTTGAGGCGCTCCTATCAAGACTAGCGATTCACTTCCCACTGCGTACATGCCCTCATTCTCACTCTGTCTGAAATTCAATATTGTTTTTTGTGTCACACACAAACACCCACAAAAAACGTGGCTGTGTTGCCTCGGGGTCGTGACAGTGCTGCTGCGGTTCTGAGGAGGTGATGGCAGACAGTCAGCAGCAAACAGCAGACACCAACCGACTGTGTGCACGAGCCTGTGAACTGTACGCACTCTGAGGAGATACATGTGTCTGAGACATATCTGTAATGTTCAGGCTCATATAAATGTGGTTTAATTGAGTCTTGTGATAATACTGTGACATGAAAGGTGTAAATGAATACAAATAGAACGATCTGAACGGCGACAGGGAAGGCAGAGAGTTGCGACGTGACTTTCTGGAAGTTTTGTCAGGCAGCTAACTTTATGTAAGACAGTGTTAGAATTACTCGTGGTACATACATAGCTCTGGCTGAGGAACATATTAAGCTATTAGCATGTTAAGACATTTTAGGTCATGAACATTTCCCAACGAGGGGGTGCAGTTCTTCCAAAGCTGGATAGTTCATATTTATGAAATGTGTTCAGATCTTCCCGGCGTATTCAAAGGATGGGTATATATTTAGTATACATGCTGTAACACTTAGACATATAATATTTACAGAAAAACTCGAACAGGGTATGGCAACTGTACATTCTTATTGTTTTGTGCTTCTTAAGCTGCCTTTTGTGTATACTTATGGAAATGTTCCTTTATCTTCAGGAGTCTTCAGTGGAGTGCTGCTCGGGGACAGGGGTTATGCCTGCCAGCCTTTCCTAATGACCCCATATCCTGACCCTGGTGAAGGGCCACTTTCAATGTGGCCCATACCAAAACCAGGGTCAGGATAGAAATGACCTTTGGACTACTGAAGGCCCGATTCACCTGCCTGCGAGGGCTCAGAGTGGCCCTTGAAAGATCCCATCATAACGGCCTGTGTTGTGCTGCACAACATTGCAACCATGAGGAATGAGAGGGCCCCTCATGCAATCCCCCAACCTCCTGATGTGGTAGACCCCATCACCCTGGACTACCCTACTGGCAGGGCTGTCAGAGATGCTATTGCATGTTATATTGGCCAATATTTCTTGGTTTACTTTTTCTTTAAAGACAAAAGGGATTTGTGTTTTAGGTATCCTAAAAGATGTAAAGGTCACCTTATGCACCTTTCATTTGACTTGAAAAAAAATTACTGAATGTTACAAAATTACCTGTCTTTCTCTCTCCAATTTCTCCACCTCCAGCTTTGTTTTTTCCATCAACAGCTTCTGGTGCTCTATGAGGAGGTCATTCAATTGGATGCTTTGGACTAGGGTCCGTTTGTACAGGGCCCGCACAGTGTCTGCTTCAGCCTGAAACACATGAAACACATATATGTTGCTTTAACATTCAAGCATGGCTCACAGCAAGAAAGCTGACAATTTTAAACTTGACTATACTTTTACATTTTGTTTAATTAATTACTTGTCGTGAGGGCCTAGGTGAGGGCCTAGATGAGGGCCTAGATGAGGGCCTAGATGAGGGCCCAGGCTGTGGGGGAGGAATCGGCACCCGCTGTGGGGGAGGAATCGGCACCTGCTGTGGGGGAGGAATCGGCACCTGCTGTGGGGGAGGAATCGGCACCTGCTGTGGGGGAGGAATCGGCACCTGCTGTGGGGGAGGAATCGGCACCCGCTGTGGGGAGGAATCGGCACCCGCTGTGGGGGAGGAATCGGCACCTGCTGTGGGGGAGGAATCGGCACCTGCTGTGGGGGAGGAAGAGTTCCTTCTTCCTGCGAATTGAGCAAAGCAAATATATTTTCAATACACAGTCGTTTTTTGTCCCATGTGCAGAGCACCACCATGTGCAAGTAATCAGAAAGAATCAATTAAAGCAACGTGTCCACACCATCTCTGCGCTCTCTGACAGTGTGTCATCCTCATCTAGGCCCCCCTGAAAAGAAGAAGAAATGTAAATGGTCTATTTTATCCATATTCAGCTCAAGGTGACATACCAAAGGTTACGTTACCTCTGTATGAGGTATAGTTGTTGATTGGGGGGGGGGGGGGGGCAGCAACACCACGTTCTTCCCATCATCTGCAGAACAATAAAATACATGTTACTTACTCCCACAAAAATAGATATATAATTGTGTTTTATAGCAACCCAGCTGTTTCAAGCTCCCTGAATCTTACCCTGTATATAAAGGTGGTGGGAGCTGCTGCAACCAGGGTCTGTAGAGAACCCCCCTTCCACCCCTACCATCAAGGGCCGACCCTCATTGTTGCTGAGGGCCAGCTCCTCGGCAGGGGTGAACTCTGCTGGAGGAGGGCCCCCTCCTGTCTTCCTCTGGTCCTTTTTTTTCTTGTTGGCTGCAAGAATTGGGAAAAAATGTGACCGCTTTCCTATACAGTTATGAAACCCAGACCAATTGAAGCAATACAAAACGTGTATTTTCAAGATCTCAAAAGAGGGACATTTACCAGATTGAAGGATGTTCTTGTATTTTATTTTGGTCTGTTCCCAGGTCCTTTTGGAGCCGCCGGGATTACATCTGACAAACGAAACGAAAAATGTCATGCACAGCTTGAATTAAAAATAAATGCTATAAATTAAAAGGATAAAAAGAACATTAGGCTTAAAGCATGGCTCAAAGTCCACTTGTGACCCTCGGGCGATGATATGATAAAGACAAAAAGGCTGCCACTCAATGATCAATTTGGTATTTTAATGACTATTTATCCGCTGAACTAGAAAATTAATCTGGAAGCGTGACATGACTGCCGTGCATCCACACTTTTTAAAGATGTGCAGCTGTGCACGCTGTTACATAGGACGTAATTTACTTACGCATTCACAGAGTCAGCAATTTGTTGCCAACCACTTTGGCGACTTTTGGCAGCCGCAACCGTGTTGCTTTTAACTTTTATCATGTGCTTGAAGTCCTCAAAGCGGCTCATTATAACACTTTGCTCCTCCGCTGTGAAGTACGCTGCTCTAGCCTTGTCCATGTTTGTGATTGGTCGAATGCTCCAGATTCCACCCATTTTATGTGAACGCGCACCTAACTAGATAGGACACGGCTGGCTTGAGATCGAGTTGATAGCCAGCGTCGTAGGACAGTTTAGCGAGAGCATTTTTTTTTTTTTATTAAGTCAACCGGATAACTCAAAACATATCCAGGATATGTTGAACTAGATTCGTAGTATACCCCCCTGGTCCGGAGCAGGTTAGGTTGCAGGCTAAGAAATCAACTCAGTGAAAGCACCGCCTGCTGACCAATCAGAGCTCCGTGTGCGGAGTTTAAAGCTATCAAGTCATATTACAGGATAGAGGAAAAACTGAAAAACTGCCGTTGCAGGAAAGACGGCCGGCAAAAATCAACTGACTGTGTGAACGTGAAAATTAAAAGAATATCCCCTCCCATCTTCAGAGCAATCTGACTATTATAACATTAGCGTTAAGAAAGCTTACTTAAATATCTGCCACGACATAAGTAACCGGATCAGAGTAACATTAAGTACAGTCCGCGGCACTGTGAGTGCAGACGTTGATGTGTCTCATTATCATTCATATCATATCACATCATAATGTATCATATATTTCCTTATCTGAGTCAGCTGAGCCGTATCTGGCCGTGCAACACTCACAGTGTCACATACTGTATGCAGAAGTATTATTTTAAGCAACACATTAAGTTGACGAAAAACACTCGAGTCAAATGTAATTAAAGTCAGATCCACTCGTGTCTTGGACGGGGCAGTGATATCATAAACCTGTTAATGTACGCATTCAAACACTTTTTCTTTTACCAGCTGTATTCACCTTGCAGGTGCAGCTATGTGGCTTTGATCCTGGATAAAGTGTTTAAGTCATGGATGTTTAAAGTTTAACTTCTTCATATTTGACTAATAATAAAGTTCACTTTTCATTCAGGAAGTATGACGCTGCGCTGTCAGTACGCTTGTCCATGTTTGAAATCACACCTCATAGTCGAATGCTCCAAATACCACCCCTTTCATGTGAACGCGCACCTAACTAGATAGGACACGGCTGGCTTGAGCGATCCACTTGATAACCAGCGTCGTAGCACAGCTTAGCCAGAGCACGTATGTTTTGGATTGGGCCAACCGGCTAACTCAAACATATCCAGGTTAGGAAAATCCGGCTTCGTAGTACAGGCCTCTGGTGTGTAATGTGCATGAACAGCAGACATGTTGATTATTTATTAATAGCATTTTATGTGTGAAAAACGTCTCATCCCAAGCCAGTCAGACCAAACAAAACTAAGGTACATTATTGTCTGTCTGGCTGTGGTATTAGCCGGTCTAAATGGATTTAACAGAAGTCTGTGAAATAATTGAGTATATAAATCACTGAAACTCTTTAATCTGTTTCTAGTGTCGATACTCGTGGCAATTGGGTGTGTGTGGGTGTGTTGTTTTTTGTATGGAAAGGGATAGCACAGCAATGAAAATAGTCCAAGCATCATTATGACAAAACATTGCACATTTATTTCCTTCCTATTTCTTTATCTTGATTTACCTACACTCACAGCATCAGATTAAAATCGCCATAGCAAGGGATCTGATCTGACCTGTGCAAATGTAAGAGCAAATAATGTCCTTTTCTACTGTACACAGAGAAATGAAAAAACAATATTTCTGTCACTTGAGGGGGAAAATGGGAAGTCAGCATTGCAAACTAAAACACAGAAGTTGTGTTGACGTATTAAGGATTAAAACTGGGTATAGCCTGTATCAGCCTGTATGGAAATGAACCAGCATGCATGGACACACACACATATAGAGCATACATCATGCGTCCTGCCATATGTAAGACATTTGTAGACATATATAAAGACTATATATTATTGAATTACAATTAAGATAATAAGATTAGATATACTTTATTTGATCTAACATATTGATGTTTTTTCGTTATAGCAGCTTGTGAAAACCATAACAAATAAGTGATTAAATGCTACAGTATTCAGCAAACACAACTGCAGAGCTGCAAACATTGCAAACAGACTAAGGTCTACAACACCAAGTTGTCTTTGTGTATTTGTGAATGAAGCGCCATCTCATGGTTAAATCCTGTAATTGAACAAATGGGGAAATTTGGCAACGCCCTCTTAGCAATTTGGCAACGCCCCCAGCCACTGGGATCCGCTGGATGGAGTCCTATCTGGAGTGCCACATCTGTATAAACTATGGACGCCCCCTAACACCTGCATCAACGCCTCTGTTCAGACACATACTAAAAAGGAAATGTGTTTTTACCAAATGAAATTATCTCAATTGAATCTATAGAGGAACTGTAAGTACTGTTTTACAGGAAGTCATTTCAGTTTTCCAGCAATCAGGCATGCGATTAACTGGCATGAGGCAATATTATATATGTTCTGTCATGCCACACTAACGGCCCGTTAAACACAGCAGCGTTAAAAAAATGTTGGAGGTGGGCGTATCTGAAGCTTGGGGATTTTTTGCGAGCAAGGCACCAACAACCAATCACATGAATCTCCCGCCCCCGACATACGAAGCAAAAAAGCCCGAAGTAAACTGGATATAAACTCCCCAAACAGGCGAAAACCTACCACTGTCTCTGCCACCTCCCTCCATGCCTGGCTCCTCCGGTTTGTATCCCGGTAGGTAAATAGGGACTGGTCCTAAAGCACCGGGTGATTCCCTACCGCTAATTTCTCCTCCATGTTTTGGAATATGAGCAAATGACCTGCGGTATGTCTCTCCCAGCATACACGCCGTTTGATTGGCTAGAGCTTGAACTGTCAGATTTGAGTACACGGGATTTGATTGGCTGACGCTTCCACCTCAGCCTCAAAAGTTGAACATTGCTCAACTTTGAATCCTGAAAATCCTGAAAATCTCCGCTCGCCTGCCCACAATGCAGTTCGGCGAAAAGTGAGGCAAAGTGACATCACCCCATTCAAAGTGAATGGGCAGAAGCGTTCCAAGATTTTTTAACGCTGCTGTGTGGACGGGCCGTAACAGATGTTCTGTCTTTAGTGCTCGCTGCTGGTTCCACTGCTCCTTAGAATTTCATTACACACATTAGTGCAGCTTGTGTTTTCTGTATGTATTTTCATTTAGGATAAACATTGACATGGATATTGCTTATCAAATCATGGCATTTTTAACTAAGATCAATTGTTGCAGATTTTCCAGTGGAGTGTGTTTAATGACTCGTAAATGTATATGTTATAACTCAGCCAGTCTGTTACAAAGCTTAGTGTATTGATGTAGTGACGTTTTAGTCCTGCTGTTATTTTAAAGTAATTAGTTAACAACAGTGATGGCTGTGTGTTCGTCAGTTTAGTTAAAACTGTCCAGCCTGGAGTCTACATTAGGGAACCTTACACTTTTTTCTCTATTTAAAGGTATTCCAAACCAGGTTTTCAGAAGTGAAGCTGTTAATAAAGTTTCCTCCCTTTCAAAGTACTCTGCAGCCTGACTGTCACCTTTCATGAGAAGACAACGGGTTAAACAAACAGCTTAGAATTCCACAACCTCAGCAGGCAGTTTGATATCATATCTAATCCCATAAAGCAGCAGAAAGGAGCTCCACTGCCCCCAGTAGAGGGGCCAGGAGCCTAGTTGGTAGTGTGGCTGCGGCTGCTGCACCGCTGCTCTGTTGTTTTATGGTGGACGAGCTTGCGTTTGATAGCACCCTGGTTTCCTGGCTTGTGGTCTCAAACAGTGTGTAAATGTTTGCTGGATGGATGTTTGGATGTCGTTACCTGGAACAGGATTTTATTGCAGCCCCTCCCTTCTCTATATATCTCTCTATCAGAACCAGTACAAGAACAGACAACAGACCGAAAGAGATATACACCAGTCCTGCATTTACTGTTGATATCTCCTTAAAGCCTCAGTGTTGGCTACATTTACTTACATGCACTTAGGAATTAGGTTACACATACTGTAAGGCACTGGGGAGCAATTATAAGTCTTGACTTTTAGAATTGGTGATTCATTGAAGTCATTTACCTGGCTGTTTGAACATTACATTACATGTCACTTGTTAGACGCTTTTATCCAAAGCGACTTACATACTCAATACTGTGGACAATCCCCACAGGAGCAATTTGGGGTGAAGTGTCTCAGGGACACAACGGCATGCTGACTGCAGTGGGGTTTGAACCTGTGCTCCCTTGATCCGAACACCAACGCTCTATCCACTGCGCCACACGCCTCCTGAACCCATCATTATAGTTAAATCACAACAAGACAAGCATCAGTGTTTTATCAAATATAACCAGTGGCGGCCGGTCCATAGGGGCGCTAGGGGCGCCGCCCCACCTCTTCTCATATTAAAAAATAAAAATAAAAATATATTTAAAAAAATATATATATTTTTATTTTTATTTTTAATGAACAAGGTAAATATTATATAATTAGTATCAGTAAAATGTATAATCTACAATAAAATCTCGTTTAAAATTGTGTTACGATGTCTAAAGTTACTGATAAGTCACATGTTTCCTGCCTGGCCTTGCCCGTGTACCTTCTCTCGTCTGGGGCGCTAAGAGAGGAGCCCTCAACCAGTGCAGCAGCAGCCACTAGCAGCTGACTGTTGCTATCTGTAACGTGTAAACTATGCCGCGAAAACATAATTTCAGCCAATCAGCGTCGTCAAATATGACGGTCACCGGGCGCCAATGTCAGCGCCCCGTGCAGTCTGTGAGTAGTTTGGACAGTGACTCGTATCCGGTTGACGCAGTAGTTGATGAGGATGGCTTCGTGTGCAGGTGGAGTCTCCGGACCTCGGTCCCCGCCTAATTCTGTTCAAGAGCTAATCTCCAATCCTTTCGAAAGGAGAAGTTTGGCAGATAAATTGTTGCTTAAAGACCTTGGACCGGACCAACCCGATTTGAATATATCGCAGCAATCTCGTGAAAAAGACAAAACTTATACACGAGGCTTCGCAAGTAGCTGGTACACAAAAAAGGCTTGATTAGCTGGATGCAAACAGGTAAATGCTGTCTTTTGTTTCCCATGCTTGCTCTTCAAACAGCCGGGGACAGATACGATGTGCCCGTGGACTGTGATGGGAGTACATGATATGAAGCATTTGTCCGAAAGAATTAAAAAGCACGAGTGCACGAAGGCACACATGACAAACACCTTTAAGCTAGCCATGCTAGGCAAAGCTAACATAGCCGCACAGCTAGATCAAGGGTACAAGATGTCGGTGAAAAAGCACAATGAAGAAGTGGACACGAATAGGCACGTCTTGTCTAAAATAATTGATTGTGTGAAATTTTGTGGGGGCTTTGACCTGGCTTTGCGTGGCCACGACGAGACTGACACATCCGACAACCCCGGCGTTTTTCTGGGTTTAGTTAATCTACTGGCCTCGTTAGATAGCGTGTTGGAGGATCACCTTAAAACGGCTACGGTTTTCAAAGGCACCTCAAAGACGGTGCAAAATGAACTTTTGGACTGCATGTTATCAGTTTGTAAAGACTACATTCTGGAGGAAGTAAAAAATGCCAGTTATTTAGCTATTCAGGCGGATGAGACAACTGACATTTCCACCCACTGCCAGTTATGGCGCGTTTCCACTACACGGCCTCGCTCGGCCCCCGCTCGGTATGGCTGGGCCTCGTTAGGACTGGCTCACTTTATGGCGCATTTCCATTACAGTTTAGGAACTGGGGCAGTATCTATAGTAACGCAGTGTAGGCGGAGCCGTGACGTGATCTTCAGAGGACCCCAGAAAAACAACACAGCCGTTAGCTGTTAGCACTCAGAGCTCACAGCTCCTCATATATGTTCAGAAACTAGACAAAAGTTAAACAAGTACAAACCACAGACTGCCTGTGTCATGGTGAATACAGTCGCTGCTTTATTTATGTCTGTATAGGCCGTTGTTGTGAGTGTGGACGGTCGGAGCATATACTGCGTTAGCTTAGCCAATCTCCATTTAGAAAACAAGCATTTTAAAAGGTTTTTCGCTTGCCGTCTGTCTGCAGACTTGACAAGCATTAATTCATGGTTTTTACTAACCGGTATCAGTATGTTGTTACTTCGGCATCATTTTGAAACGTGTATTACAATTAAATCACGGTCAAATATGTCCATCTTGTTGTAGTTGTAGCCCCCTTGCCAGCGACGCTCTCTCTAGTTTAGCATACTCAGCCCGACTCAGCCTCGTTGTCTCTGGCCCTGGACCCACGATTTTATGAGGCCAGAAAAACTGTGAATTAGGACCCGCCGGCCGGTACTAGGCCAAGTGGAAACGCAACCAAAGACGGGCCGCTGACGTCACAGCCCTCTTAAACCGGGCTGCGCGCTGTAGTGGAAACGCGCCATTAGTGCTTGTGCTACGCTACACATCGACCCGCATAACAACGTCCAGGAGCGTTTTTTTGAGTTCATTCCTCTTCAGAATGCGAATGCTGACACAGTTGCCACCCGCGCTGATGGAGAGGCTGGGCACTATCCTCCCCGATGGACAACAGGGCAAACTAATCGCCAAGCCTATGACGGTGCAGCGGTGATGAGGGGAGCTAAAGGTGGAGTTCAGCGGAAAGTGAAGGATGTGTACAGTAGTGCGCACTACATCCACTGCTATGCGCATCAGCTGAACCTAATTATGCAGCAGGCAACATCCCACATCCCCAAGATAAGAACATTTTTTTTCAGACCTTGGTGGATTTGCTGCATTTTTCTCCAGGTCATTCAAGCGAACTGCGATCCTGGATCAAGTGGTGGCACACAGACTTCCTGGCACTTCCACAACAAGATGGAACTTTCACAGTCGTGCTGTTAACACTGTATATGAGCACAAGGAGAACATCCTGAGGTGTTTCCAGACAATCAGAGACTCAGGTGACTTTGATCCAGGGTTCGAGTTATAAACTGAGCTCTATGGGGGTCTTTGAAACTAACGTGTGCGCACGCATGCACGCGCACACACACTCAAACTCAATCACACACACACACACACACACACACACACACGCATGCCCCCCCTGGTAAGATATTTTTAAAATGTTGGAGTTAAATGCATCAATCTGGTGCATTTTGAGGGGAAAATAAAGAGACTAGATCTATGGAAACACCCATATGAAACAGATGCCACATCATGTAGACAGACAGTCACCCTGTGTGAGGCAAACCCACATTTGCGCAGCGTTGCGTTCACAATAGCCTACATTAAAAAAAAAATCGCTAGGCCATCGGGAAACCTCCCGGCCCTCCCGATGGCCAGTCTGGGCCTGCCAGCAGCCCTCTACTTGCTACAAACTTAAATATGAAAACATAGCCGTGGGAACATATTTCAAATGGGGGGGGTGCTGTGGGGATGACACCAGGGCCGGTTCTGACCAATTTGCTGCCCTAGGCAAGATTTTTGCTGGTTCAATTATATCTTATTTTATCAGTTAACATTTATTTATTCATCCATATTTTTTAATCTCTCCAGTTTTAAAGGATATTGTTGGTTTACTGTCCTATAGTATACATGTGCCAAGAGCAAGGACTGTCTTAGGTAAGACAGCTTTTATGTGCGCAGCTCCACTTGCTTGGAACAATCTTCAGCAAGAATTGAAACTGAGCAATCTCATTCCTCTGCATGTTTTTTAAAGCTAGGCTAAATGAAATGCTCGTTGATACTATGGGTACTTGTAAATGTCTATAACTATGTAAATGTATCCTGTAAATATAATGTATGATGTCCTTTATTGTTTTATGTTTCATGTGGAACCTATATGCTGCAGGTCTCTCTTGAAAAAGAGATCTATGATCTCAATGGGACCAATCTGGTTAAATAAAGGTTTGAAATGAAATGAAATGACATTGGAATGATTTCAAACCTGTTTTTATTTATCTTAATAATTATAAAGGTGTGCCTTGGAAATATTTGTTTACATAAATTGTGATAAAACCGTTTGAGACACACTGAGATAACTTAGACTAAACACTCAAGAGTCCTTTACCTCACTGAGCCTCTCAGGGCAAATGGAAAATGTAACCGGGGTGAAAAGGGTGTTATCTTTACTTAATTATGAATGTGAACAGTTGCATCAACAGCTTTTACAATGTGCTGCTGACTGCTGGAAAGTGGTTTTACTTTAATGTATTTGTTTCGTCCATTGTGCTAATGCAGGTGGGGCCGACCAGTTATACAAGAGGTAGATAATAACTGTACTTTTTTTGAGCCACATGCCATGATGCACCAACATAATTGTATTATTTAGACTGACATTAAGAAAGAGAGAGAGAGAGAGAGAGAGGATATCAGACAAAGTGATATCAGACAAAGTGATATGAGTGATAGTGAAACGTTTTAACTTTCATTTAGCAAAAAATAGCGTGAAACTTTACATGCAAGTTCCAAAGTAACTTCCTGAAATGTAATTGTCTGCGGTGATTCTACGGAGTCCCCAAAGGCCCAAAATTGTGCACACAAAACATATTTTCGGCTGCCCGGGCATAAGGAAGTTGCTCTACTTATGAAATCTCTGTTAGTTTAAACTCCCACTTCACTACTTTACATTCAAAACAAATAGCTTATAAAATGTGGCACGGCATTATTGATAAAGCTACATATTAGTCTATAAAATAGTTACATCATACTTATCTTAACCAGCAACACCAATAAAATACTGCTTCACATAAATGCATCGCAAATAATCATCAGTTTGTATTCAATGCATATAGAGGCAACTGAACCACACATCAACATGTCATCCATGCATTTCTTCACTTGTCAGTTGTTGTTCAAGCTCTCAAACAAACAAGCGGGCAGTACATCACATTGGCTCTTTTTGCTGCTACTTTGACAACATGGTTGCAACCGGTTTTGTTTTCGTGCTGTTGATGCCAATTTTCATTTTTTTATATAGTGAGTTGATGATTTCATAAGCTAAGAGTGAGGTACATTTTCGCCTCGCAAATTTTCCATCCAAATGAAGCAACATTTCTAAATCATTTTCAGACAAATTTGACAACACATGTTAGTGTTGTTCGATCTTATTGTCTTATATTTTTGTACAGCACTTTGAATTGCTTTGTGTTGAAAGGTGCTATATAAATGCCTAGTGATGACTAAAAATCTACTAGGATTAATAAATGTCCAAAGTGTCTATTACGTTAGTAGGAAATCCAACCTAGAGCAATTGAGCATTGGAATAGAACATGTTGTTCCATAAGGCCCAATGAGAACAAACACGAGGCAGAATCTAAACAGGAAAGTGTAAAAACATGTTGAATCATTAAACATCTGATAGAACAAGAACAAGACACAACTAGTTTTTGTTTTTCTAAAAACAAAACAATGAGGTAGATACTAGCTATCATTTTTTTTAAGGAGGGGCAGCTTGGACGTATTGTTGTACATAGCCGTGGGAACATGTTTCAAATGGGGGGTGCTGTGGGGATGACACCAGGGCCGGTTCATAAGCCTGTGACATAAGATTTTCAACTACATAATTACTCTGTAGCTATGTCAGATTGACAATAAAGAACCTTGAACCTTGAACCTTGAACCCTTGGTTCTGACCAATTTGCTGCCCTAGGCAAGATTTGTGCTGGTTCATTTATATCTTATTTTACCAGTTAACATTTATTTATTTATCCATATTTTTTAATCTCTCCAGTTTTAAAGGATATTGTTGGTTTACTGTCCTATAGTATACATTGGAATGATTTCAAACCTGTTTTTATTTATCCTAATAATTATAAAGGTGTGCCTTGGAAATATTTGTTTACATAAATTGTGATAAAACCGTTTGAGACACACTGAGATAACTTAGACTATGAACTATCTAAACACTACCTCTCAGAGCCTCTCAGGACACATGGAAAATGTAACCGGGGTGAAAAGGGTGTTATCTTTACTTAATTATAAATGTGAACATCAAGGCCGAAAATAAGTTTTTTTTGTATTATATTTGTATTATATTTCCATTTAATCTTGTGGACGTGCAATCTGCACCCCCTGATCAGGACCCCCTGTCCTCCATCAGGGGGTGCTGCAGCACCCTCAGCACCCCTACTTACCACGGCCCTGTATGAAAAGGTTCAACTACGCACACACACATCATCTCGGCTCGCGCGGCACGCTCACAGGCATAGATTGTGCAATAAAGTATTGCGCACCTTGGAGGTGCAGTGCAGGCATATTGTTATTCAAGAGATGCGTTGTTCTTTTGGAAAACATGTTTTTCTTTTCAATAATACTCATTACATTGACACATGCATTATTTGTGATTAAAATAATGGTTGTTGGTAATGTATTAGCGACCCCCACAGATGTATGATTTCACTGCGTCCGTGGGAGCTCAGACCCCTCCTTATGGGAGCTCAGCTCCCATTGGCTCCCACATAACTCGAACCCTGCTTTGATCCCATAACAGTGAGAGAAGCCGGGGGCTTTGTGCGAATGATGGAAGATGAAGTTTTTTGCTTTTTCCTGACATTGTTCCACAAGATCATGCCACATGTAGACATGCTGTTTAGCCAACTGCAGAAGAGGAACATCGACTCTGTCTACATCACAGGACTCATCAAGAGGTTCACCAGCAGCATACAAACAATCAGGTAAATCATTATTTACAATGGCTGAGATGTGCTTATTATAGGAAATCTGTGAAACCTAAATGTGATTTAGCTGAACACAATAGACCAACTCACACATACTTGTTTAAATATCTTAAACGGGCTTACTGGAAATGTATATATTATATAACGTTTATAAGGTGTATCTCTGACTACTATTTCAAATAGTCAAGTTAATTTGTCAATTCTTGCCACAATGAGTAATTGTACATGGTTACTTGTGGTTTGGATCAGGGACTCCATTCCTTCTGGTGAAAGCAGTGGATCTCAGCAGCTGCCCACAAAGAAACGGAGGGGACTTGGACATGAAGAGCAACAGCTGTTGGCTAGAGAGGTAAGCAGTAATAGGAACGTGTTCTATGACTAAAAGCTCCTTTCATAATATAGGTCATTTCATATCACAATAATGATACATTTCACAAGAAAGCCCATTTTCTGTAAATTAAATAAATAGGTAGGCTAGTTAAAATATCCACATGGAAAGGCCTATTGCTTATTACATTCTGAATTGTATACACTTAACAAGGCCTAAACTGCAAAAAGTGTCCCACAGTCTCTACATTTCAAAGGGGATCAAGACAGATCAGAAAAGGTTTAGGCTTCCAGAAGCAACCACAGTGGACAGAAAGGGCCCAACAATAAATGAATGAAGTGTAAACATAGTCATTAAATGTATATATTGTAGTGACTTAATTTTAAACAGTAATATTGTTCTGTTGATGCTCAGATAGATGTCCTGTTATTCTGATAGGTTCCATTCACAAGAAATCTCTTTGTTTGTTACACATCTTATAGGGGACACTAATGACATTATGACTGATAGATGTGAAAAGGTGATTCTGTTATTTATTATGTCTTGATTTTTTCATTGTGCATTATTTCATAGGTATGTGATACCATACTGAGTCACGCAAAGGAGAGATTTTCCTTCACCAAACACCTAATCAGCTCCACCCTCCTGCAAGGAGACCTGTTCCAGCAGCACAGCCGAACATTCCCTGAAGCAGCGCTGGAAACAACTGTGGAGGCCTTCCCTCTACTGGACAAGGCAAAGCTCAAGACGGAACTGTCCCTCGTCTATGACAATGACCAGTTCAGGGCTTGCAGTGGTGCTGTTACTCTGCTCCAGTTCTTCATTGACAATAATCTGCAGGAGACATTCACAGAGACTGTCAGTCTTCTGAAGGTTCTTGTAACCACACCCATGGCTACGGCTGAGGCAGAGAGGTGCTTTTCCACTCTGAAAAGGATAAAGACTTTCTTGAGGAACAGCATGACACAGGATCGCCTGAATGCTCTGGCTATGCTGTCAATTGAGAAAAAACTCATTAGGAGCATTCCTGACTTCAACACCAGAGTCATTGAGAGGTTTGCCTCTCAGAAGGAGAGAAGGGCAAAATTCCTCTACAAATAGACACACACACACACACACACACACACACACACACACACACACACACACACACACACACACACACACACACACACAAGCTCTCGCAGCAAACACAGATGGCCGACCCTTAAAAAAATGCGTTTCATTAGAGAGACAATTAAACGGCCGCAGAATGTTGTGAAGTTACTTTTGGATACCTAAGATGTTTTGTTCAACCACAAAGTCCAGGAACATGAGTACTGTTTGGAAACCTGTTGCGTTCGACTCATTTTCCCCAGAGGAACAGTTGTTTCTTGTTTCCTTTTGTTTTTGTCTTTTTTCTGCCTGTTGCACATTTTGTTATTCAAAGCAGTAAAAAAGGTGCTATCGGCCAATAAGCTGGATATCACTTTATATGTAGAGAGGAGGTTTCCCATGGTTGTTAGAAGTGTATTAATAAGTGGGCATTTATCACAGAAGTGATTGTTCTGTCTCCACGTTTGTTGCATTGTCTGTGATGTATTTTCCAACGGTTATAGCTCCTGTCCTGTCCCAGCAACACTACACGGTTTGCAGCTCCACCACATTTTTGGTTTATCTTCGGTGTCGCTTAAAATCTGCTTCCCATCGGACTAAAACCTCCACGTAATCTGAAGACAGATACTTGAAGTTATTTAAACCTTTTGCAAACTTTATGTTCTTTCTTGCTCTAGCCTTGCCAGTTACATTGTACATAACACATATATTATCATTATGCTAACTGGTTGTTCGTGTTAGACGATGTAGCTTTTTCATTTCTGAGTTATTGCTATATGTAAATAAGCCTGTTTGTAAATAATCCTCAGAGAAACAAAGAAAAAACACAATTTATGACATTTTGTGCTGTGGTTATTTTTTTTAAATTGCATTTATTCACAGTTCAGTTTGAAATGCTGTAGTGACTTGTATTGAACCACTTAAATATTTATAATTAATGCTACTGAAAAGATGCTATTAATTTTATATCCCACATGCAGTTCACTGTAAAGCTACTTGGTGAAGGTGTTGGTTCATAAAACATGAACAGTTTTAAGAAAGAAAAAAACTGACCAGTTCTGAGAACACAAATTCCTGGTAAAGTAGTAGATGTTCAGGTTGATAAATAATATTTTCCACCCTGAAGATTATGGAGGTATTGATCAATCTTCTCATATTTTTAAGCCTCGATTTCTCCTTTCCCCCCCCCTCTAACAATCACCAGAAGTCATAATTTAAGGGGTCATTTCTCGAAAAAAATGTCCAGGGGGGGAACCCCCCGGACCCCCCAGGCAGGTCACTTCCGGTACGTCAAGAGCCCCACCAAAAAAAAAGACCACCGGCCGCCACTGAATATAACACCTCATACAACACGTTATTTTGCCACAGAGGAGAGTAAAAATGGTGTTAGGAGTTATTTTGAAATTAACCTGTTAAGCCCGAGAGACCCCGGTACCGGGGCACTGCCGCAACATCTTGCAGGAAACAGTGTCTGAGGGCATGTTCATTTAATAAACTATGAATGTTTTATATCCATGTAACGGGAAGAAACTTATCTAACTGATCATATTTTTTTTTTTTTCAAAAGAAAACCCACAATGCTAACGCTGGGCCTCTGAATTAGCAACGAGCGAAAAATGCTAACAGATTACTGCACCAAAAATCACTCACAAAACTTTATTATTTATCATTTCTCTACATCCATGACATCGATTCACATCGTGAGGTGACACAGAATCTATGGGTACCCTCAATATCACTGAATTATACGAAATCGCGACGTTATAAGCAAAAACAGACATCAAAACATTTGACGCTAGGTAGCTAAAAATGCTAACATTTTTACCTTGGCTCTGAAGTCTCTCCAAAGTGGTCTTCAATGGCATTAAAATGATAAAAACGCTGCTGAAGTTAATCCATAGGTTAATCCAATGTGTCTGTGTGCCTTTGAAATGATTTATGATAATCCATGAGCAATGAGATTGATAATCCATGTTTTTCCGTTTCTAGATATCAGAGCTAGAGTGTAGCTTCACTCTAATCATAGACTGTATATATAAATGGACGTAGGGTCCGTGACGTCACCCATAGGATTCTGCAGAGTTGCCGAGAAGCCCTTAGTAGGCGGAGTCGGCCACTAACGGCTCGACAGTGACGTCTGAGTCTAACTCCCGCCTGCTCCAGCCTGCTCCAAATAAGGGCAAAGAGGCGGAGCCGAGGCGGGACCTGCTGCCTCCAGCTGGGAAGTAACAGAGCTAGCTCAAGCTAAGAAGCTAAGCTAACATGGTCCCCATCTGTTCACTGCCGTCACATTTTACGTTTCTAAGGTAAGCGGACATGAAACTATTCAGCAAAACTATAAATAATAATCTAAATTATTGAGTTTTTAGCATAATACTTCAGAATCTTAAAATCCCTTAACGTTTGTATGCAATGTGCTAAATGCAACACTGGAATCAAGCAAATATTAATATGTTTGCATGACATTAGTTATTTATATTTTGCTATCACTTAATTATACGTTTAATACATTTAAGTTAAGCTAAGGTGCATGTGATGGTAGCTAGTTAGTGCTCTTACCTGTGAGGCCTCCTCCAAACAGCATTATAACCAGACTGTATCATTAAAACTATAAGTACCAGTTCTAGATCCTTGACTTTAGACAAACAATTCAAAAGACAAAATGTATTTAAAGACCAATCTTTATTTGAAGGTGCCTCTTAACCTGAGATATTAGTTATACAGTAATAGTATTGACAATCTAAAAAAACTGAGCAACTCAACAGTCAACTTTATATTTCTTATTGTCTAAAGCATTTATTATTTTCATTTTCCCCCACTCATATTCAGTGTGGACGGATTGAGACAGCGTGGTGTCCAGAGAGCTGCAGAGACTTCAGGGAGAAACCTCCGTGTGATGGACGTCCAGTCTGTTGGTTTGGAGAGGACTGAGGGTCTTTCCTCAGCGAGGAGGACCAAGCCTGATGGAGGAGCCCATGCTGGGCATAGCTGATACTACCTGCACAGGCCTTGTCTGTCACTTTATTTGACTAAATGTGTTTACTTATACATTTAATAGGTTTACACCTTCTGTCCATATGTGCTTTTTTATTTAAAACATGTTTGATTAACTTTTGGTTCAGATTTCAATAAATTGAATTTGTATTTGCACTCCTTTTGTCCATTATTCTTACTGAAAATGTTAGATTACACATTCACATCCGACTGAAGATTGGCCCCATTTATTTGCGTTGCAAACTCTGTGGTACAAGGTACATGTTGTGAAGCTCATGAAGTGAGGCAAATAGAAATAATCAGCTGATGGAGTGTAGATGTGGAAATAGGTGCATTCGATCAGCTGACTTCACAATAAAAGTAGTTTCTTAGTGAATGTCCTGTACTGGTCTTAAAATCTCATAACATCAGCTTTTAATTTTCCTCTTGGATGTTCTTCTTGACCCTCAGAGAAAGAGGAGATGCTGAATCGTGTCTTTCAGGCATGTCCTTTCCTAACAAAAATTACAGGAAACATAAAACATATTATTGCAGAACAAGTGTGTTATTTATGAAAGAGGTGTGCTTGTGTTTAGGGGCTGTAGATATAATTATTTTGTAATTGTAATGTTTTATTTTATTTCAACAGTGAGCTACAAAGACAATCAGATTATGAATGAACAGTATGAAATTCATCAACATTGAAATATATTTTATTATCAAAATAATATTTAACTGTTATCAAAACTTAGTGCAACTGTAGAAGCTTGAAATCATAACTTTTACCACGTTTTTTACAGACAATATTGAGAGATAAATAGCAGTTGTCACTAATAGCTTTGCCTTCAATACCTTCAATTAGAAAGCTGACAGTCATATTGCTTGTTAACATCTAAATGTAACCCTTTGCATGGAAAAAACCCTCAACTTCACTGATGTGTAGGTGATCTAGTATTTAGTATTGTTTAATGGAATGTATATCAGTGTATTAAAGTCAATACTTCATTTATTTAAACCAATATCTTTCTTGATTCTTTGTACAGTATGAAAAAAGAGTATTTGTACCTGTGCTGAAGTTCACTGCTGTGAGGAGTCCAGTTCTGTCTCTCACTCTCTGGTCCAGCCTGTCGAATCACCTGGAAACTTTAAACAAACAGATATATATGTAAAGAACCATGTGTACAAACAATATAACTTATTATCTTCTGTTGAACATGTTGGATTGTGTATTGTCCGAGTCAGGATCCTTATTATTTTACTGTAACTTTGGAAGTTGTGTTACCAATGCTTACTGTTTATTTGATACCAATTTGGTAATGCAATTAATAAAAACAACAAGGTTTGGGTTCGTTCTTCAGATGACTGTGACGTTAACGTGTAAGCTCAATAATGAACTCCAGCTCAACCAACCATATTGTAATATCTAAGTAATCATCTTGAAATATGACATTAATAATTGTAATATACACACATCTTATTGTGAGGTTGATTTCACATACACTACTTCGACGTTAGCTTGTCTACATACTTGAGCATAGCCAATTTAAATTAACCTTAGCGATGCATACAGTTCCTACCTACATAATAAAATATCTCTCTAAGTTACAAGGATTACCTTATTTTATCAACCTCAAACAGAAGCCTTTTGTTCTACAGTATTATCCCACTTAACGCTTAACACTTGTCTATTTCATTTTAACCTTTATATATACAGTCTATGGTTTTAAGTTAACTTGGAGGATACGATTAGCATCGTTAGCACCGATGTAGCTACCACTCGCTTACACGCTAACCCAAGCCTTAACATTCATTACGTAGCTGATTAAAATCATAAACACATAAATAAAGTACTCGAATTTCACTGTTTTAACCGCAGAGCGAGTCACAATAGTCCCATATATAAGCATGAAGAACAAACAAACCCGGCCGGGATCAAGTTGTGTTCCCTGGATGAACTGGGCAGGCAGAGTCGCTGTAGCTTCACGGAGACGGAGCAGCTAGCAGAGAGACAAAAAGCTAACAGCAGCAGTCACCTGACAGAGCTGTCACTCAATGTGACCACGCCCTAATTTATGCAAAAACTTTAAGACCTAATATAAATAAAAGGGTCGTGTTAGAAAACAATTCACTCACAGATCCATAATCATGAAGGTGGAATCTAACTATATTCATAATAATATTTATTGGATCCATAGGTAGAAACATGTTTTTTTAGGCTGTGAAATTGGGCATTTTAACATGGGGCTCTATGGAAATTGCTCCTTTCTGCAGTCAGCGCCTATCGGCCAATATATGAACTGCAGTTTGTGGCACTTCCGCATTGGCGTCCCGGCTCTTCCCCAGAGTTTGCCGCTTGACTCTAATGCAAAATTACATGCGCAAAGCCCCCACCTTTTTGTTTCACAATGAATGTGTGTGGGGGACTCCCCCTTCGATTCTATTGGCTC